GCTAGCGGCGTAGCGCCGCTACTCCGAATTTGCGGAACCTTCCAATGACTGCGCGCGTGCGTGCGTGCGTGAGTGAGTGAGTGCGTGCGTGAGTGAGTGAGTGAGTGAGTGAGTGAGTGAGTGAGTGAGTGAGTGAGTGAGTGAGTGAGTGAGTGAGTGAGTGAGTGAGTGAGTGAGTGAGTGAGTGAGTGAGTGAGTGAGTGAGTGAGTGAGTGAGTGAGTGAGTGAGTAAGTAAGTGAGTACGCGCACTTTATCGTGAGCAGGTAAAGCCAATCGCGTCGTCGCACTTCGGTCTTGTACACCGCACGGCGTTAGCGCGCATCCGGGGGATCTGAAAACACTGCATTATTTTTTTCCATTAATGGAATATGAGAAACTCGGCAGACAGGACTTTAAGTGCCTAATAATTTCTTTTTCAAATATTAATATAAACTAATCGTCAGTTGATTCTTTATAATCAGTCATATCACTTTAAAATCACATGCACTTGTAATAATAATAATTAATAAAATGTATGTAGATATATATAGATATATTTCACTATTTCAACGTTTACAACGCTACAATATTATATGTACAATTTTTTTCAAGCACGAAAAAAGATTTGAATTATAGAAGGTAATAATAATATTCATTATCACCAATGTGGATTAACTTTAATCTTTAATTCATCATTTATTTTTTTCTAATTTCTAGAATTAAAGAAAGATGAAAAATAAGTTAAACATATATATTATATAATTTATATATATAATTATAATATTATAATTATTATATTATTAATATTATATATATATATATAATTTATATATATTATGTGTGTGCGTGCATGTATGTATGTATAAATAAAAATTCACTGGGTTATTTTTTTTCTACAGATTGGCTGCATTCCACTTCGATTGAAAAATTGTAATTAATCTATGTTCGTTTCTTTGTCGATATCAATATATAATATAGAATAGTTTTGATCCCGGTTTAAACTTACGTCTGGTCTGTTTTTAATTCTAAAAGTTAGAAAGAGATAAAATGTAAATTTAAAAAGATTAAAATTAATCTACATTGATAAAAATAAACATTATTAAACTTGTGTAACTCCAATTTCGCGCTTGAGGAAAATATATTTATATATCATATGAATGTGGTAATATATATCATAGCAAATGTGGATCGTTGGCAAATGATGATATATGAAATATCTGCATATAAATATACATATTTAACTATTTACTAATTTCACAAATATAGATACATGAGTATGTGACTTTAAAATTATATTATGACGCATTGTAAATAGTTAACTAATAGTTAACGATTACTTTCGACCGGGTAGAATTGCTTAAAAACCAGCAATCTAAATAGTCTCTAATCTATTTTTTTCAAAATTTGGATTTTATTTGCAAATCATGGCATTACTATTATTCCAAGATGTAAGAATTATCTAAAATAAAGAATTCCAAAAAGTTCCTAATGTATATAAGTATTATTAGTCTCGTACGATTTACAAGTTGAAAAATTGATTTTTGTAAAAATGGCATTTGAACAATGAATAAAAATTCAATTTTCTTTTAGATTTTTCCTTATCGAAAAAATTGAAAAGTTGGAATTCTTATGTTGATTAAATATTGACAAAAACTATCGTATATTTACATAGATTAAGAATTATTTGGAGTTTTTGTTTTCCAGCATAAGATAATTTCTTCACTTCTTAAATTAGGTAACAATAAATTATGACATGCTCATATAGAATCGCAAATATAATTGCCAATAATTGCCAAAAAAGTCTTATAATTTTTGCAGAATTTTATAGAAAAACATTTACATATCAAAGAATAAATATACTAAATTTCAAATTTCCAATTCAAAGTTTTCCCAACATTTTCCCAAGAAAAATTCCTAAGAAGGTGATAATAAATGCGAGAATACTTCCTTAAAAGCCCTAACTTATAAAACACTGAATTAAGGTACACGAGGGAGAAAGATAAGGGAAAATGAAACGTGAAAAATAATTTAAATGAATTTTCAACTGTTTATTATTATTCTGATAAATTTAAGAAATTGAAGAAAGCGCGAATAATAATTAACATTACTCACATATACCGTCTTCTCTCTTCGTGCGACAGCGATCACGCGTTTTCTTTGTTTATATACAAGCCTTACGTATAATTCCGTCTGTAGACTTTCCGTAATAAGGTAGAGGAGAATACGGTAAGTAATAGACTCGAGGAAGGAGTGAATTCTCCGGACGAGATGAATGCATTTACGTCAAACGGCGCGATAATCCTGCGGCAATGCGACAAAGAAGCGCACTGACGAGGAGGTTGCGCGTGCTCCGGTCTCGCCGGATGCGGTCTGATCAGAGCGAGAAACTCGAGTTATTAAACGGAATACGAAAATTACAAACGACGAACGAGAAAACCGAACTGGAACTGAAACCGAACTGAACGGAAGCGCATCGCACGGCGAGGCGTCCACGGCTTCCGGTCCAGACTTCCGGTTAAACACGTCCTGTGTGATCTCGGTGATCCGCGGCGGCGAGACAGCAAGAGACAGCGGAGAAAAAATTCGACGGGCGGTTATTTCTCGCGTGGGATCGATCGAACATTGCCGATTGACGCCAATGACGTGGAACGATGCCGGTGATGCCGTTAAAATTAAATGTGACGCTCGTGGCGCACGACGCCGCTTTGACTAGTGTTGCAGGAGCAGTTGACTGGCGCGAGATTGCTCGTTCAAGTGTCTCGAGAGCGAACGGAAACGAAAGAGGGACGCGCAAAGCTGTGAACTGCGAGATGCGAGATGCGAGATGCAAGGAGCAGATAGATGGCGTCGGATTCGACTTTTTTCTCCTAGCGACTTTCGAATCGAATTCGGATCATCTCGTAGAATCGAATACCTCTCGCGTCTTGTCAATATCGCGAATAAATCGAGAAAATCAATTTTTAGTTATTCAAAAAATATCCAAGATACCTATGTTCTGAAAAAAGAATTTTCTGATTTTGTTAAAAATTCCAGATAAAATAAAAATATTTTTTAACGTATCTTACAAATAAATATATATTTATCGTATGTAAAGTTCTTAAGATTTCTCAATTATAAAAATTTAAAAATCATAATATAAAATTAAGAACCACTTTCAGTTTCGGTTAATGAAACCTGAATAACTTTTAAGCTTTATCCAAAGCTTTATACAAATAAAAAATTATACAATATTACATTCGATAAAAAATTTAATTTTTATAAGACTAAACTAATATTAAAATAAACATCCGTGTTTATTAAACAAAATTGCATTTAATACAGAGTTATTGTTTTCAACAGATACTGAATATGGTTTAGATTTGATTGTAAGATCAGCGTACATGTTTAGAGTGCATTTATCGCCCATTCTGTTGTCAATAATAATTCAATCGGTAAACTTCCGATTATAATATATATAGATAAAATATTAGAAAAAGAATTCTCTGATTTTTCAAGGCAAAACAAATTCTCTGAGAATTTCAGATTTTCCAGGTTTTCTAGGTAATAGACACTGCTGCTTATCGATTAAAAGCGTCAAATTGTATAAATTGATGTTCTGCGGCGGTTCAGCCGATTGAGTTAATCGTTAATTAATTTAATTTAATTTACCAAAATGGCACTAAGATATAAACAAAAATAAGAACACTGTCGTAATCGTTTTTACATTAATTAGAGTTCGCTTCAAGTTGCTATTGATGAAGATTGTCGGTGCATAAAATTCACCAAATTTGAATATCAAATATGTGCATACCCGATAAAAAATTTTTCATATAAAACGATATATAAATATATAGAATTATATATAAAATATATTGATATATGCTCGTTTTCTGTTGTATAATTATTACTGTTGTATAACTATTGTTTATTCATATAAAAAAATAATAAGTAAAAAATAATTAAAAAGATAATTTTTGTATTATTTCTTATAAAAAAAAGTACAGTTTAAAGAAGGAAAAAAAAATTATTTTATATTAATTTATATATCAATAAAATAATCATATAAGAAACATGTATATATGATCATGTAAAGAATATTATCTATAAAATCATGATTTTTATAAGAAAAGATGTCAATTATTTTTCTAAATATGTTTCAATTATTCTTCTTTTTTCTGTATATATGAACGGAAATTATATGATTAGAAGAGAAAAAAGATATAGAGACATTTTAAATATAATTACATATATTTATATATCTATTTATCTATATTAAAAATTTGTTACTAAGCATTACGATCCTTTCACTTATTTGCGAATAAGTAAAATATGACATTTAACATGTTCTCTTTCGCAAATTTAATTGAATTCGACAAAATTAGGCCAATCTTTTTAATGTTGATATCTATCAACGTACATTACCTTTACTTTATTTTAATTTAATTTGCTTTTTATCTTTTTTAGTTCTAAAAACTAGGAAAAGATAAAAAAGTAAACCGAAATTAAAGTTAATCTATTGAAATAGAATTAAGCTGAACTCTCTTCATTCTTCAGTGTAAAAGAATAGATTTATTGTTAATTGTGAGAAAAAAATATGGAAGAAAAAAAACGTGAAAATCGAAATAACTTTGGTTGTAATATTTTTAATTGATTTTGCAAGAGATTTAAAATAATTAGAGTTCCACCTCAAAGATAAAAAAAACATTTTTTTCTTTGTATTGTACAAGATATACACACGTGTGTGTGTGTGTGTGTGTGTGTGTGTGTGTTATATAGTA